CTTAATCCTAGTGTCTAGGTGTGGGTCCGTAAGGATCTCGTCCATCTTGCCTATCTGAGCTTTACCCTTCCCAATCAACTTTGCTATGTGTGCGTCCCATGAACACTCCTTCGAAATCTCTACTCCCAGGTGCGTATACCTGTCTACTACCGGTAGTTCTTCCTCCCCCCATTTCCTGGGGGGGGCGTAGCTTCCATGTTCATACTCTCGCCAGAATTCTTCTCTCTGGGGTGCGATCTACGTTTGAATCAGTCGTAGTCGGAGAGGGAAAGGTCGAGAGTGTGCGAGCGTGAAGGCTTCGTGGGGAGATGTACCGATTGTGCGGATTTGCCCACGCCTTAAAGGAACTATTGTATGTACCGATTGTGCGGGTTTCGAACCACGTCATTCAGGCTCAGCGTGACCGTGCCCAAATGGCTCTGAAGTCGCGATCTCACGAGATTCTGATGGCTGAGATGGCTGTGCTCGTCAAACGCTATCGCCGTGAGCGGAGCCGGCTGTACGAGGTGAACCGAACACTGCTCCAGCAGCTGGCAGAACTCGACGCTCAGGTGCGTGTGTATTGCAGAAGGCCCACTATCCTGGCTTCACGTTTTATTCGTGTTTACAACCGTTTTTGGTTTGGATGATCGCTCCAAATACGCCACGCTGCTATTTTGCTACACCTTCTAGTGATAGTACTATTCTGTCGACGTCCGCCTCTGCGAGACTCGTCCAACGCACGGACCAAATGGTGGCGCACAGCGCTGGTAGGGGAGGTGCTTCCAGTACTTATGTAGAATACGCCCTTCACCGGATGCTTCAACCCTCTCCCTCCCTATCTGCGACCGCTTTACTCCGCCCTGTTCCACCCTTCCCGCATACCCTATCTCCTGGTGCATATTTGCATCCACTCAGCAGCCGCTGCAGTCACTAACAACACATCCCCCGTCTTTGCTCATTGGTGGGGCGGCGGCCAGAGGGATGACGAGCCTCGCCGAGGAAACGTCCGCACAGCAGGGCCACTAGGAGTTGCAGCAAATGGGCAGCCGACAAACCCCAAGTATGGACGGGGCAAGGCGAGGGAATGGGCCAACACGGGTGGTGGTGGCCTGAGACACCACCAGGGAGCGAAGGTCGTTACCGCCACGACCACCCTCTCCTCGGTCGCTTTGGTTCCTACGCATACTATCGAGAACACCCCAGCGGTTGCTGCTGCGGTAGCCTCAGCACGGCGAAGAGGGCCGGCCATGTCAGCATCGGCGGCCGCGTTGCTGACAGCTGGGGGGCAGAGGGTCGCAGGGGCAAGAAATGGTGGAGAACATGATTTCTCCCGCGCACGGCCCCGAACATCGGCTGGGTGCGAAAATCGGGCGAGAAACAAGATAGGTGCGGATCTGGTGGCCAAGGAACGGGGTGACAGGAGGGGCAGAAAAGAGGTGCGTGTTCGTCTAAAATGATTCGAGTCTCAAAGAATGTCCTGAACCCATTTGTTTCGAGGACAACTTTGCCGGAAGGTTTCCCTGCCAAGCCTGCAATCCGCTTTCTCCATACTCAAAAGGCTGACGTGACCGTCTCGTTGTCAACCGGCTCCTCTTGTTCGCACAGAAAGCCTCCCTGAAAAAGGAAGTGGAAACTCTCGCTCGACAACTGCGTTCCGGGGTCCGTGAAGAGTTTTTCGGTCCCCTTTCCCAGAGCGCTCGGGAAAGGGCCAAGGACATGAGCGCCGCCACAAAACGCCACACAACGCGAGACCCCATGATCTTGGCCAAGCCCCTTTCTGCCATCACGGGGTCTGTCCTGACCAACGTCCCTCTCCCAGCCAAGATGGCGACGGTCGTTCGCGAGATGGAACCCTCCTACACTCAAGGCAGAACAAGCAGGTCACGGTCAAGACCTACGAGATGCGAAGAGAACGCATCTGCTGGTGGTTTTGGTGATGGGTATGGCCACCATCGAGGTGGCGCGGGCGCATTCTGGTGACGACATTGATCCTGGACTCCTGCTTTGTCCTTTGTGCTGACATACAGAGGTGTATCGCCCCACGCAGCAGTCTTTTCCGTCTGCGCCTCGTTCGTTGTTGCATGTCCTCAATCAACCAAATGCGGACCATTCGATAATGTGCTACAATAAATGTGTCAGCTAACACGGGGTGACAGTCGTCGGCGAGATGCAACTCCCTCGTTCTGAAGGCAGAACGACATCGTGACTGTTGCCGACGAAGCTAGGGTCGTTTTTAAGGACCACTTACCGGAGCCCCCGCTCTGAGAGGTCGTTCTCGGGTGTCTTGACGATTTGTGGCGACAGAGAGGTATCGAACGTTAGCTTATAACACGACCTAAACGATGAAACAACAAAAAACAAAAAAAATGCATGTGGTGATGACATGGTGCCAGCGTAGTATTCTTCATTTGTCAGGGAAAAATACCGGCAAAACACAAATGCCCCGATTAAGGACCACTTCGAATTCGTAGTGATTGCGCACGTTCTAATGATTTCCGGAACTTTTCCTTTGGCAAGTATCGTTATGGTAGTAATGCAAAGCATTTCCGAAAAAAATATTTAAAAAACATGCATGCCCGGGGACAAAACCAAGAAATCCCCGTGGTTTTTTGCCTGTTTTTGGGCCGAAAATGGCCTACTTTGGGCACCACGCAAAGGAGAGTTCAAGTGCTTTTTGCCCGTTTTTTCTTCGGCATCGTGGCAAGCACCCCTAGAATAGACACCATGAAAAAACTTGTTTTTCATCCGGGTTGATTTAGTCTCTATCTCACATACAGACGCGATTTTTGCCCATGTTTGGACGAAAATCGAGGGGGCAAAATAGAAAAAAAAGGAAAAAAAGCGGATGAAAAAGCACAATGCACGGCCCAAGGTCCGATCTTATGTCGTACAAGGTCCATTGTTGTTGTTGTTGTCTTCACATTAAAAACCATCCCGGTCTCTCTATCCAGTACCTCCTTCTGTCTCAATCTCTCCGTACTAATCCAGCACTTGACTCGGTCAAATTCCGTGGTCACAGGCTAACGTACCTAG